GATCTTTGAGGTCCCTTCCAACCCAAACCATTCTATGATTCTATGAAATTCTGCTGTAAAATTTACTTTCAAGTGTGCTGTGCTGTGCGAAGCGGACATCGCCCTTTCTCTTTGCTTTCTGAACACATCCAGAATAAGTAACTTGAGGGTAAACTGAGTTTTTGATGAGTATTATGTGCGCAGTTTTATTCCAGGTCTGCCGAACGTGTTGGTGTAGCCTGCGTGTGTCCACGTGCCTGCGTGCCGCTGGAAGAGCTCACCCCTCGCCGTAGCGCTCCGGGGTGACTTTGCGAATCCATTGCCTGGTTTGGGAAGCTCAGCACAAGCGGTGCCATCCGGCCAGAGCGAGCCAGATGTGTTGTGCACCCTGATGTTGTTCTGGGATGAGATTAATTTCCGCACGCTCATATTAATCCATTGTATGTCTCTTTCCAGCACAAATGGACCCCCGAGGCCTATCTCCCAGACAAATTAAAAGTGACAGTGATGATGACGACCTGCCAAATGTGACCTTAGATAGCGTTAATGAAACTGGATCTACAGCGCTCTCCATAGCCAGAGCAGTACAAGAGTAAGTATCACATTCCCAGAGTGAGACGAGTGTTGCCGAGGTGCTCCCGGGCCGATGGAGGCACCAGCCCTCGGCAGCGCCGCAGGGGTGTCCCCCAAGCCGTGGGCCGGCATACCTGTCTGCATCTCTTCTGTGTAGCTTCATCCCTTTAGGAAGAGATGGCTGTATCTCTCTTCTGTCTCTGATTCTCTTTTCCTTTCTTTCTCTCTGCTGTCATTATTAGGTGAAGTTTCAAATTGAAATTGTTTCTTCCCCTTTATTTAGTTGCAAAGCTTGCAGTGTTTTTATTTCCACTCCAAAGGGAGACCAGGTTAGACTTTCACTCAAAAAACACAAAATTTTTTCTTGACTGAAAGCAGCACCAAGAAGTTTATTCTAGTTGCTGTCAAATAGGAACTACCTACATTTCTCCTGAAGGACAATGTCATTGAAAGAAAATTAGTGAGGGGCTTTGAACAGTTTTTCCCTTGCTGTTATTATTCTGTGTACTTTTACTCACTGGATGGACAAATAAGTTCTTAATTTAATGTCTGTATTGCTTGTTTGAAAAAAAGAAAAAGTTTATCATGAACAAGAGCAATTCTGTAGATGCATGAGCTTGCCTCAGTCACTGTAGCAGCTGGAAGGGAACCAACTGTGAGGTAAATAAGTATTAATATCTCAATTTTATAGGTGAGGAAAATGAGGTTATGCGTAAAGGTCACCCTGTAAGTCTGAAGCAGAGCTGGAAATAGAACTGGAGCCTCCAGGCACTGAAGCCTGTGCTAGACCCACAAAGCACATTATTTTATCTGAGAAGTTCAAAATACGGGCATTCTGGACACTATTAAATAGGAAGGGATATAATAAAGGCCATTAGATATTGTTACTATGTAATTTATTATAGATGCATTTTAAATGTCTTAACATGGTGTCTGAATGTACTTACATTTCGTTTTGTTTTCCTGGCCATTGGTAGCCAAAAGCGCTGATTTTTCCAAAGCAGTCTTCTATTTTCTGACAGGAAACTGAGCCGTGTTTCAGGAGAACTCCTTTTTTTGTGTTTTCATCAGGTATCCAGTAATTCATCTTCTAGTCAAGCACGGTAACAAATCTATATTCCCCTTAAGCAGTGAGGGAGGTCTCTATGGACAAGGCAAGGTGTTGGCTCTCGCTGTAATTAGCATGCTTCCCTTCCTACAGTGGTAAAGGAAGGAGAGGTTCCTTCACCAGTGACACTGTTGCTTGATTGACAGATCTCACACATATTTTGAATTTGCTAGTTACAACACCAGACCCTGAAGTGCTAAGTATTTTTTCCGCGGTTTATAGCACGTGTGATAAGCCAGAAAAATAAAACAACCTATCATGATTTTGCACTAAATAGTTCTATCTAATTAATGAAAAGAGGAAGCATGGGATGCTAGCAAATGCTTCTAATACATGACTGACAGGCTGATACTATTCTCTGTGATTGATATTGCTTGAACATGTAGAGAATTGGTCAAACCATGAAAAGCTTTTTTAGCCTTTCCACAATGCATTCCATAGTTTATGAAGGTAAATATGTTGAATAATACTTGGCTGGCTCTGGAGCTTAAGAATTAAATTAAGAAATTTAATAACATAACATCAACTCATCCTTGTTACAGGTTTTATTTAAACAGTAATCTGTTAGTTTATTTCAAAAGCCCCATTAGGAAAATCTAATTTGACTGTGATCTGCAATTTATCTTCTTTACTTCATTCTCAGCCACAGACACCACGCATATAGCTGCTGAGCTGAAAAGAGACGTTAGCGTGTCATACTGACTCCGCTCAATCCGTTTCTTTCTTGGTCTATAATATAGTGCCTTACAGGCAGGCTCTATTCTGTATAACTTAGGCATCTAATGTGCACCTTCATATTAGACGTTTAGCAAAGCAGCCCACCAGCAATAAAAGCCCTCATTCTACACACCCTTCTTGCAGAGAGGAAAGTGCCTTTGAAGCCTTCCAAGGGGAGATCCTGTGTGCTCAATTTCAGCATCTAAACTTAGCAGACTGGAATTTCCTCTGAGGACGTGGAAAGGCACCTACTGTTCTGCTGAATAACCGGGCAGCATAGGGACATGCACAGAAGGACTGCTTCAGTAGGCAATAAAGCCTAAAGTAGGTGTGAGCTAAGTGCCTAAGTGAGATAGGCTTGACCTCAGAGTCTAGAAGACTGTCCCACAGAGTCTGTTCTTTCTTATGTGAGCTTGTAGGCTCTTTCTTGCAAATAGTTGTACAGTTAACAACAAAAAATAACTTCTTGCTGAGAGAGAGACTTCTTTTCTGGGATAGTGGCTGGGAAGTACAGCATGACACCTCCAAAGGGATGGCAGCGTCCTTTCCTTCAGTACCGGATTGCTGTTGTGTGATCTTGTCCATGTTAAACAAAATACCAAGCCTAGTTTGTAGATGCTGGTGGCAGGTACGAGACAACAGTTGACGTTTTCCTGGTTGGTTTTCAGACATATTTTAAATTATCCTGCATAAGGATTATAAATATATGTATGTATGTTTATATATTTGCCTATTGCTGCCTGTTCTCTGGGAGTGAAGGGATTTCAAATACCCTGTGGTGGGGGTATTTGCTTTGGATCAGTCCTGTGCACCTTCATGCAGTGTGTGAGGCTGTTGAGTATTGCTTTGTTGGGGCTCCTCACTTTCCCTGTGTGCTGTCTGTGTGGTTCAGGATTTGTCTTGCCTAGGTAGACATCTGCAACGTAGGTGTCTGCATCTGAACTAGTTATCTCGCCTTCCTGCACATGGGCCAGATAGTAGTTGGCATATCTAGGCAGTAATTCTTTTGACCTACTCTAACTACCTTATTTAGGGAGAGAGAGGAACTAAAGCCCACGAGGACCTGTTCCTCTCCATTGACTGCAGGCAGTGCAGACAGCTGCCTGGGACACATGTGTCAGCGCTGCAGATCTCTGGTGTGAGGTGAGGGTAACACAATCCACGGCACCTGACTGGGGAGTCAGCATGCCAGAAGCTGGGAGTGACAGGACAATACTGAATGCTCCAGTGTCTTCCTTGGGATCTAAATCTATGAGGTGGGGTTAGTAATGCCAAGGTTTTAACTGAGAGCTGAAGGAAATCAACTAGTCAACACTGGGGAGGAACCGTTGTTTTAATACAGCCCTTTTTAAACGTGATATTTTGGAATCACCCTTATGTGGCTGGATCATAGGACAGTTTGCAATGCCTATATGAAAGCCTTGCTTTTCATGTCCTCTAAAACTGGAAGGCATCTGCCTTTGTTGCTGCTTTGTTTCAGGTCCACTATAGTCTTACAAGGAAAAAACTCTTACCAATAAAAATTGTGACAGTGCAAGGTCCTATACATGCAGCAGGGCGAGTGCTGGTGTCAATATAGGCTGAGGGACGAAGAGATTGAGAGCAGCCCTGCAGAGGACTTTGGGATACGGGTGGATGAAAAGCTGGACATGAGCCAGCAATGTGCGCTCACAACTGAGAAAGCCAACTGTATCCTGGGCTGCATCAAAAGAAGTGTGGCCAGCAGGTCAAGGGAGGTGATTCTGTGCCTGTACTCCACTCTGGTGACACCCCACCTGGAGTACCACATCCAGCCCTGCGGTCCTCAGTACAGGAAAGACATGGACCTGTTGGAGCGAGTCCGGAGGAGGGCCACAAAAACGATCAGAGGGATGGAACCCGTCTCCTATGAAGACAGGCTGAGAGAGTTGGGCTTGTTCAGCTTGGAGAAGAGAAGGCTCCGGGGAGATCTTATTGTGGCCTTTCAGTACTTAAAGGGGTCTTACAGGAAAGACGGGGACAGACTTTTTGGCAAGGTCTGTTGCGATAGGAGAAAGCATACTGGTTTTAAAAAACTAAAAGAGGGTAGATTTAGACTAGATATAAGGAAGAAAGTTTTTACAATGAGGATTTTGAAATACTGGAACAGATTGCCAAGAGAGGTAGTAGATGCCCCATCCCTGGAAGCATTCAAGGTCAGGTTGAACAGGGCTCTGAGCAACCTAATGTAGTGGAAGATGTCTCTGCTCACTGCAGGGGTGTTGGACTAGATGACCTTTAAAGGTCCCTTCCAACCCAAACTATTCTATGATTCTATGTTTGGTATGAGTTCTTATTTACTTAAACAGAATGTAATTTGCTTGCATATTGGTAAAATAACCAACTATGACTATTTTTTCTCAGGGAAATTGCCTTCTTGCTGCTAGCTTTATATTGGCTGAGCTTCCAGACTTCTCAGTAGTTCTTTTGGAATGACTTCATAGTCCTTTTTCAGTTCAGCAAACCCAATCAATAATGTAAAGTTATAGATAAACAAAGTCATTATTCCAAGCAGGGTACTTTGGTGAAAATTCTTTATGTGACAGTGTTGCTTTATGGCAGTTGCTATGCCTTACCATAACATGGACTAAGAATAGTTTATTAATCTCAGATAATATGCTCTGGCTGGTAATAAATATTGCAGGAATATGTAGATTTCAGTGGGCTTTGCATTGTAAGCAGCATTTCATCCTTTTTGTAGCGTGTTTTACAAACTCATTTTGACATGTAGCTCTCTAACAAAGAACAGATTTGCCTCTGCACTTCTGACACCACTGATGGTTATTACACAGCAAGAATAGCATCATATATTCAGGGTCAAATCTCAGATGCAGTCTAGAAATCTTTATGAAGCCAAGGGAAGAGAAGGTGTTAATCAAGCCCTGAAAGACTGGTAGAACATTTTAAGAGCCCCCCTCAGAGGCAGCGTGCTGTTCCCTCAGCCTGGCAGCCCTTCCATCCCTAGGCAGCCCTGATGCAACAGGACTCAGGAGCCATCTCCATGGTTCATAGTAATGCAGACTCTGAACAGAGCATTCATCTCCTTCTTTCCCTGCTCACTTAGCAGTAAAATATATTATTTTACAGCAGGCATCTCTCTCTCCCTGACCACATGCAGCATAAGATCTCCTCCTTGCAGAGGCTGAGGGCAGAAGTGGGAGAGGCAGAGGGTGGTT